CAGGATTGTGTGTGTACATCTTGAGATCATACAGGTTCTGAAATGTTTTGTAATATATGAAAGACTTAAAAGAGCTTCTGAAGCTCTGTAATTCTATTTAAACACCACTGAGGTCATTTTATGGCCGTTGCTTGTAAGCATCGGTGCTATGTTCCAGATTTACTGCAAGTTATTAGCATTCGTGATGCATTGCAAAAAAGGAAATGAAATGAGTATGCTCTCGCAAGAGCATGCACTGCGGCGCTTTCCTTAACAGAAAGGAATAAAAGACCCTATATAACAACACAATATCAAATATGTATTCATAACAATGTGTGTGTGTGTGTGTGTGTGTGTGTGTGTGTGTGTGTGTGTGTGTGTGTGTGTGTGTGTGTGTGTGTGTGTGTGTGTGTGTGTGTGTGTGTGTGTGTGTGTGTGTGATTTGTTGGCACAGGAGCTGCTGTTAGGTGATTTCATTGCCACAGAGAGGCAGTGCCCTTTGACTTTGTGCCAAGGTCTTCATCCGCTCACAAGCTCTCCCAGTAAAAGCCATGCACATCATAATGAGACCCGCTTTGTTTCTAATACATCCAAGTGAAAACATTTATTGGACTAATTACATTGCTCCTGCATTGGGTTTTCTTCCTGTTTTACACATGCCTTGGCAGGGCGCCCAGTACTGTGTCAAAACGCCTCTTTCCTCATGACTGTGGTACCAATGACCGGGAAAGGAAGCAGGAAACAAGACACCTGCGAGAAACAGAGTTAGACATTGAATTAAATGCAACTTAAAAGTGTACAAGGTAAAGGTGTTACTTGTTCTACTGCAGCTGCTGCATGCCTGCACTGGCCTCTGTTAGTGTCTTAAAATCAAATAAAATCAAATCAATGATACTTTAATAATCCCAGAGGGAAATTAGAGTTTCAGTACACACAATTCAGAGATCAGACATACACGGGCAAGACACATGACAAGAATTGGTGACTGTGGTCATTCACAACCCTGAGTCGCACTACCTTAATAGAAATAAGAGGGTTAAATGAGGATTGGTTCAGGTGGAGGGAAAAAAAGGCACTTCAGAGTTACCCTTCACAAGGAGGGCTGCTTTGCTCTGCAAAGAAAACACCTCAGACAGATATGCAGCAGACTTGAGACAACACAACATAAGTGTACACTAGGTGGGGTGGTGGGTTGGGACTATCCCCACTTCAGTTCCTGCAGCCACGATAAACAGCGCATATCACCTCAGTGTGGATAGGGGGAGGAGCATTGAGGGTTGGAGGGTTGCAGTGACCCTGGAATGTTTCAGCGGCCTTCCCGCAGTCCCGCCCAGGCTGGGAAAGGAGACAGAGTTGAGTTGCCATAGCGACGGCACATTACACATATCTTCTGAGGGGGGAGTTTTCGTTTGAGCCTTGCAGGCTCAAGGGCGCCAGATTCCGATTAGAAATTGTTTGGGGGCCAGACAGAGATAATTTCCTCTCTGTCTTACAGTTTGTTGGTCCTCAACCTCTCAAAATCCCAATAATGGACATTAATCTATCCCAATCTGTGCTGATTCGTCCACTCTCTCCTTGATGACATCCATCTTTTGTGCTAATGAATGAATCTCTGCCAAAATCCCAAGCTTACGATTCATCTCGACAATTATGTGAGTTTATGAATTCACAGCGCGGTGCAAACCATCTCTGAGCTTCGGGATCAGGCCAGTATTCCTCAACAGCTCGTTAATTTTCCGGTAAGCCAGGTAGCCTCCAAGGCCAATGAGCAGGAAACCTGACACCAACACCAGAGTCTATGAATCAGATTCAGATTCATTTATTTTTGCCATTCAAAAGCGCATTAGAGACAGAAGAGAATGAAAGTGTAACTCAGGCTTGCTTATAAATATTATAAATAGCCCATGTCAATTGGTAGTTTAGGCTGCTTTTAGCACCACCTGGTGTCCATTTAGTAAAACCAAAGGAGACACTTATTTCCTTGTTGTGCATTCATCTTATTAACACCTTAGTCTAAATGTTGAAATGTCTCCTCAGCCTTCATTTGTTTCTACAGAAGTGGTTCATCACTAAATCAAACCAATCAGTTGTGTTTATGGTTGAAAACATGCAGGAAATGTGCTGGAAGCAGAATATGTTTTCTCACAGGGCACTCCAGGTCTTAACAGTTGAGAAATAAAGGCACACCTCAAAGCTGGGCTATTAATATGTTTCTAAAGCAATAAGCCATGTTTCTGCATCCTGCATCCTTGCGCCACTTAACTTATTCCACCTGAGAACTCAGTCACGGGTAGGGATGGGTACCTTTGACATTTGAATCGATCCGGTACTAATTCCCGGTACCTATGAATCGATACCGGAACTTAACGGTACCAATTTTTGATACTTTTGAGTGTTTATTATTTTAATTCTCTTTTATAATAAAATATATATATTTCTCAATATATAACAATATTTGATAAATATCACGATAAATAGCATACAACTGTTTGTATTTTAACATCGTCCTTGTAGTTTTATAAGCTGATAATTAAACTGAAGCAAACATCTTTGCTGGGAACTAAATTTACTGTGTATCTTCATTCCTTTTGCCGTCTTTTTTCATTTGATTTTTCCTACTGGGAAGTTAGAATTTCCGAGGAGAAAGCGAACGCACCATTAGGTGATAACAATGGTAGCAATGGAAGCTAACATATCAAGCTAACGTTATCTTAAACAGTTTATTTAGCTGCTGAAGCAGATTAAAACGATGATGCCTCACACTTAAATCATTGTCACTGGTTTCGTCTTCACCCAATCACCCGTCGCATTTAGTAAAATGAAGCCAAACTTTAGAACGTGTTCATGTTCTTCTAGTCGGGAATTCGGAGTTCCGAGGAGAAAGCGAATGCACCATTAGCGAAACGGAAGCTAACATATCAAGCTAATTATATTTACCTACCGGAGCAGATTAAGATGAGGATGTCTCACTTAGATAGTTGTCGCTGGTTTCATCATCACCCAGTTACCCATCACATTTAGTGAAGTGGACCCAAGCTTTAGCATGCGTTCTTTCTACCATGCTGCTCTGTTTACAACTCACTCGCAGGGACCGACGACATAACGCTCTTGCGCATGCGCAGCTTTCTTGGCAAGTTCTCGTTATGATGGACAGGTATCGAAACGAGGCACCATTTGAAATGACGTGAATCGGTGCTCGGTCGGTACTGTGGAATTCGGTCGGTACCTTAAAAAGTACCGAATTCGGTACCCATCCCTAGTCACGGGTGTTAAGGACAAGAGGGGCTGCAAACGTATCACTTAGGTTCTGTTTTTTTCTACTTAAAGCCCCCTCTGCTGTAATGTTCCACACATAATAGTATAGAACAATAACAACTAAAACAGCAAAGACTGGGTGTTATTTCCTCCTGTCCTAAGCTGGCAGTTTATTGGTATGCAACTATTTCACTACAATAGCATTGTGCAATCAGTATAGCTCTTTAATAATCAGATATTTTTTGGTCTATTGTAGTTCTGCAAATTCCTAATTCTGATTAAGGTCTCCTTTGAAAGCCTGCATAATTTAGATGGGAGTTGACCACTCTAGTGCAGAGAGCCACTGTATGTTTGGGAGTGAATTTAGATCAACCAATGTCCCTTCGGGCTTATTTCTTTCTCACGCTCTCCTTGCTTCTTGAGGAACCCAAGTATTAAGAAAGATGCTCAGATGAGAAGTGAAATGTCTTCACACATAAAGGGAAGCTGACTTTCCTTTGTTTAAAGTTACAGCTTGCCTTGGGTTATGTTAGTAGGCACTTTTTCAGAAAAATACTGGAAGAAGGGACACACCATGGTTTGCATGGTGGTACCTCAGGAGTTCAAAACACTCAAGCTTTTGCTACAGAAACCTTTAGAAAATGAAAGATGGACTTGTTTGCATCGGTAAATGCATCTACATACTGTAAGGATGTGAGATCATTTTACATTTACAGAATGATGTTGTTTTGAGGCACATCACAAAAGCTATTAGTAGAAAAATGCTTTAGATATTTTATTGATTATCAGTGAGCAATAGGAATAATGTATGCCTAAATTAGGTGGCAAATCACATGTGATCTGCTCACAGATGGTCAAACATAAGCAGTTTTAGTGAATATTTACAGGTGATAGAAAGACGAGGTGTAAATACAGCTGCGGCCATGACCCTGTGAAGGGGGTATTTCCAGAATTGCCAGCTGGATGATGTTATTGTGAAAGAGAGGGGAAAACAAGAGCGAATAGATGTGAATGGGGCCAAAAAGTGACATTTAATTTATGAAGAAATACTGAAAATCTCCTTGAGGTTGGGGCATTTTTTTTTTCAATAAAACATAATTAATTATCTTCTTTTTAGGAATATTTGATTACATGGAGCAGAAAAACTACTTTTTTTTCAATATGCAGGACCACATCCTAAAACCAATGAACTGAAAAAGCTTTTATTTACTAAAAACTTGCTAATAAATAACAAACAAAAAAAAAACCACAATGTTACATTTAGACAAAGAAGTGTAAGGTTTCCTGAAATTGGTTTTTAATACAAACACTCAAAAAACATGAAGTTGCTTTGACATGAAAACCATTCATTTTCTATTTTAGGGCTAAATTGTAAGATAGTGATACTGAGGACATTATTATAGCCTTAATTTATTATGTCTACTCTGTTAAAATTGAAATTGAATGCATATTATCAAAACTTCATTTATTAGTTATGTTTTATCAAAAACTGGCTTAATTAAAAGAAACAACCTTTTTTTCTAAATATCAATATTAATGCATTAATTCTGACTCAGTGAAGGGTTTGGCTACATATTACTTTTAATTTCAGCTATTACATTTAATTGAACACTATTTGAGGAGTGTTTCGACACACTGTGGTAAGATAAAGATATACGTTACAAAACACTAAATGGTTCTAAGTCCAAACAGTGATGGACGTCCCATTCCCGGACAAAGGGGCAACAAGAGCCCTGATGGGTATAAATAGTGGGGTTTGTTTCAGACTCGACACACAAAACTACAAGAGGCTGATAAAGAAACAGACACATTTCCATACATTTCGATTATCCTCAAGATGAAGAGCTTCACCGTTGCAGTAGCCGCTGCCATCATGCTGACATTCATCTGTCTGCAGCAAAGCTCTGCAGTCCCACTCCCCGAGGTAACTGCTTCATCACCACCACCAGAGTTTTTTTATTCTGTCTAAATGTTAGAATTTTGCATCTGAATGGGTGAAAATGTGTTTTACAGGACCACGAGCAGGTGGAGCTACTGGGTGAAGGACTTGCTGCAGATCAAGATCTCCAAAAGGAATCATGGAAGGTGGGTTCAGTTTCACTATGGAGTTATATTTCTTTAGCTTTTTATTTTTAACACAGCTGGGTGCCTTTTCATGTGAAGAAGCCCGATGTTCAGAAAAAAGTAAAAGTGACCTACCAGTCTGTAAATGAGCCTGTTCTCTACCTGTCTCACCCAGATGCCGTACACCATCAGACAGCAGCGTGAAGCTCGCGGCTGCCGTTTCTGCTGTGGCTGCTGTGGCATGTCTGGATGTGGTGTTTGCTGCCCGTTCTGAGAGAAATCCTGGAGTTATTACAACAGCAACTGTCTGCAGAAACTCCACATGTATCATCACACCTGAGATCATTTAAATTTGATGTTTTAATTAAACTCAATGATCACTAAATGCTGAATGCCCCTCATTTCTGTCATTGTACCATTTTCATCTCTGGTCCTCTACTGAGTCCTAATTTCTGAGTGTGATCCAAATACTAGCATTCAAATATGTCTAAACAGGACATTAGACTGTTCAGTCTTACATAGAATGTAAGAGTTTTTTTGTTGACTTTTCTATTGAAGGTGATCTTATCAGGACTTATCACAGACTTTAAAAATGGGACCCAGTGCCTCCTTGCGTGACACTCAGCATTAAGGGGTTGGATTAGGGGGTTAAACCACCAAACGGTTCCAAAGCGCAGCCACTGCTGCAGCTCACCGCTCCCCACGAGGATGGGCCAAATGCAAGGATGTAATTTTATCAGTATGTAGTGACTAATGGCACTTGAACTTTAAATACAGGCCATTAACATTTTACCCTTCATTGTAAATATGATTCCTTTAAAATTGTTACCTTCATAAAACAGTAAAAACTAACAAAGCATCTGTTATTTATTGAAAACTGACTAAAACAGAGACATTCAGTGTATTTCAGAAAATTCTTAGTAGCAGCTAATTAAATTAGATACATAGCATGCCATACACATCATCATTTATTGTTAATTTCCAAAACAATTCTGTCAGGGTCATAAAAGGCCACAGTGAATGAAACATTTGTTTCATCCTGCTGAGATGTAGAGTCACAGCTGCTGTGGGGAAAGATAGACAGTAAATAAAAGATAGATTAGTAAACAAACAAACATGATGTGGTGTCGAGCTGGAACAAAAAAAATCCCAAAGGAACTGATCAGAGTGAGCAAAAGCTGTGAAATCTAATAAACTTTAGGGTGATAAACTTAACCCCATACATACACAGCAGCAAGCAAATACAGACAAACGAAATGATGTTATAGGGCAAAACATAAAGAATAATAACAAAGAAACAAAAATGCATAAACCTTGAACACAGTGAGGTTTTCTGTCTCTTTAGTCACCCAACTTTCACAAATCTGGAAAATGCGGAATGATTTGAAGATTTAAAAAATTTGAATGTGACATTTTTTAAATTTGAGAAAAGAGACAACATATTTGCTGCCTGTTAAATTCAGATTAGATTTTAAGATCCTCCTTCTCAAAAATAAACCCATCAATAACCAAGCTCCATCATACATTCATGATCTTATTGTTTCATATATTCCTAAAGCCTGGATACGATTTTTGGCCGTCGCACAGGATTTTTTATGTCACACTGTGAGAATCCCAGAAAGGTGGCGCTGCACGGCACAAGACTTCCGTGAGGCAGACTGCACGACGCCTCACTCCCGCAGGACACACAACGTCATGAGCACACCTCCAGAAAGCACATGTCAGCAGACCATTAAGCAAAACAAATGTGAAAAGATCAAATAAAGTGTCTCCGTTGACACTTCTTACTTCTTTTTAGCATCAGCTCATGACCCAGCTCATCTTCCTCAAAGATAAAGCATCGTCTTAAAAACCCTCGCTTTGGCCTCAGACTCCAGCTGCACGTCTCCTTTTCCCGTCTTCCAGATAAACAGCTGAACTGTTTGTTGGACATTCATCCTTCAAATTCCCCGTAATAAATAAGAACCCACTAACCTACAGAGAAGTAACAATCTATCACAGATCGCTGCAAAATCTAAACTTTTGCCGTGAATTCTGTCTCACTGTTTACTCCACAGCTCCGCTCTGTGAGCTCATCACACCCGCTGTCATGAGCAGAGTATCCTCTCTCTCTGCAGCAAAACGTTACTGAACCACCCTTATTGGCTGAATATGTAAAATTTCCATCAACAGCAAAGGAATTTCATGTTTTTGTGTTTTAATTTTTATGCTTGTGAGCTCATCTCCTCTCACTCTCACAGATCACAGAATCACGGTTTTCACAGTTTTTCTGACGGTCTACAAATGTAGGTTAATTATTTTTAGTATAACTCCTGTTTAGCTTGGGCTATTGACAGAAATATAAACTGGTATGTAGTTTATAATCCACATTCTAAACATATATTAAAATCGAAGCTCAGAGAGGCAGTCTTGCTGCTGCGGCGTCCCAAAGGTGTGTTTTCATTGGTCGATTGCAGACAGGAGTCGTAGGTTTTCAAGCAGTGCTTGAAGACTTTTTGAGGCTGATTTGTTTCTGAGACAGCTCAAAAAGCTGTCGCAGAGCTGGTCACACTGTACATTCACAGCATGGTACACACAAATCACCCTGACTTTGACCATTTTTTGTCACGATTCTGCTCAGGACGAGGTATTTGGCAAAGATGACCAAAAATCGTACAGTGTGACCTTGGGCATAACAGAGCACTTTGCTCTCAGACCTCAAGTTTAGAGGTGGTTCCTGGAATATCTAGAATATTCATCTAGAATAAAAATAGAATGGGAAGCAGATCTTTTAGTTATCAGGCTCCTTTCCAGTAGAACCAGCTCCCAGCTTTAGTCCATGAGGGAGACACCTTGTCTTCTTTTATAACTAGGCTTAAAACTTTTTTTAATTGACAGGGTCTATGGTTAAATTCTGATGTTAGCATAGATCTGGACGAGTGGGGAAGTAGAGGGACGTGGAGTGTACAGTGGTGAATACAGTAGGTAGAGACGGCTCTCCCTTGCCCTGCCTCCAACATGCCTCCATCTTAAATACTAGGTTATCCAGAGTTATCTCTGTGTGCTGCTGTAGGCTTAGACTGCTGGAGAACATACTGACCACTTTTCATACTCTACTACTTTCTTCTACCACCTCTCTCTAATTGCATTGTTTTCTGCTATTTCTGCTGTTAACCCTCTCAGGCTCAAAATGAGTTTCAATAAAAGGACTAACAACTAAGTCCTTTAGGGGTACTTCTGAGTTAAAAAATGCTCATGAAATACATATGTGGAGCAACCAGGTATGGTAGGTTTTAACTTTGCAAATCTGCAATGCCTGCCTCCAGAGGGTTGATTTTCTCTCCAAGTGTTTTTCTTTGTCAGAACAAGCTGCAATTGTGTTCTGCTGAGCTGTAGTAGCCTCATGGAGAGGGCCATCGGCTGGCACATTACTGCTAACCACTTAACATTCTGAGTGTGTGTGTGTGTGTGTGTGTGTGTGTGTGTGTGTGTGTGTGTGTGTGTGTGTGTGTGTGTGTGTGTGTGTGTGTGTGTGTGTGTGTGTGTGTGTGTGTGAGTGTGTGTGTGTGTGTGTGTGTGTGTGTGTGCACACGCGCGCACGTGTGTGTGTGTGTGTTGATACATTTTCAAAAGGAAACAAAGTCACCTCTATATTTATATTTAAAGGGTTAATTGGTGAAGGAAATATTTTATTTTAAATCCCAGCAAAATAAATCATTGTTTGACCTTTTTATCTAAACATTCAATGATTAAAGTTTTACCTCATGTCAGATTGACCCATCTTTATTTCTACAAGTGGGAAATACCTCCATGCTTTAACTCAGGCCTCCTGATGAAGCAATGTGTAGCTCAAAGAGCATAAATACCTGCTCAAGCTGCACATTCAGTCATCTAAGAGGGAAGACAGCAGCTGACAACAATTACCAAGTTCATAGTAAACCTGCTTGGTTTGGATCTATTTGTTTTTCCATCCTGAAATGAAGAACTTCATTGTTGCAGTAGCAGTGGCCGTCATGCTCACAATTGTGTGTCTGCAGGAGAGCTCTGCTGCTCCATCCACAGAGGTAAAAACCCCTCTGTTCTTCTCTATATTCATATCTAAATTTTAAAATGTTTTAAAATTCATTTTATCTAAATGTTAAAATGTTACAGGAACACAAGCAGGTGGAGGAAACCATGGATGGCGGTCCAGTTGCTGTGTATGAGGAGATCTCAGAAGGATCAAGGATGGTCAGTTTAGTTCACTGAATGAGTTCAAATGAATGCAGTTTTTAATTTGTGACGAAGCTAAACACTTCATTACAAACCGTCTTGATGCTGTTGAATCTGTGGAATCAGGTTGAAACGGTTTTCTGATCTTTTGGACAGATGTCATACGGCTCGGTCCAGAGGCAGCGCCGCTGCCGTTTCTGCTGCAGCTGCTGTCCCAACATGACGACCTGTGGCGTGTGTTGCAGGTTCGGAAAAGAGCAGCAACATCTTTGAGTTTTAACAACAAAAGAAATCATGCTTCTCTACCTGCTAAAATACAATTGTTGCCATATTTCTATGTTGGTTGTAATTCCTTTAAGATGTTGGCATCAAATTTGTTCTGTTTGCATCATCCCAAGACTTTGTTAAACACCTTCAGACACTCCAGTGTGTCATCGTGTTTCTTTTGACCCTTAATAAAATTCACTGAGCAATGCATCCAGAATCTCTCTTTTGCTTTGACTTTCATTCCTAATGACTGACTCCTCTCTCTGGAAGGTCATGAGACCTAGATGTGAAACTTAAGTTGAAAAATTATACCAGGGCTGAACTGGCCATTAGGCAAGGCAGGCCTTTGTCCGGTGAGCCAACAGTAATTTAGGGCCGGACACTGCCAGGTCCTTTTCCAATTTTGGGCCAGCCCAGGTCTCTTGTCAGTGGACCTATCAGATTTATTTGATAAAGGGCTGAACACTCTCTCTGAGAATATAATTTCAAAAATGATCTTTTTCTCACACCATCATCATGGAATTGTCTGTTGTTTATATCAGCCAACTCCTTCTATTTCAGTCGTGCCGACCCTCCCTCAACCTTCTCACCCTGCAGCTAGTTCATAAATGTCATCCTTTAATTTTCGTCAGTATTTGCATTTCGCATTTCAGTAATGATAATGTTACATTTGCAGCCTGTTAAAATTAATAATATTTTTTCAACATTTACAAAAAAAAACAAGCATGCTGGGAAATGTCTCCATTCAATCAGTTTAATGCCATCATAGATGGCATCACCTTCAAACCAACTTCAACTGAAGGTACCTTCTTAGCAAGCTGGAATCCCGGACACCCAGAACTGCTCCCAACATGTAAGTGCCAAAAAATGAAGTTCCACCCTCATCTAAGGGCTGGCACCAGATATGAGCAAAAACATTTGAGGCTT